GCCCCCCCGAGGAAGAATATCCCCCAGAAAGGAACACCTCCAGAACAAGATTCTCCCAGGAAGGAAACCCCCAGACAGAACTCCCGAGATAGGACACCCCTAGTAAGTAGCCCTCCGGGACCTTCCCGAGAAAGGCCACGTCCCAGACAGGACACTTTAGGCTGAGGCCCCGAGTGACATCCCCCAGGACAGACTCCTCCAGCACAGCATCTCCAGGGCAGGATTCCCCAGAAAGAGCCCCTAAGAAAGAGCCCCTGGGACAGGAACTTCCCCAGGAAGGGCCACCCCCCGGGCAGGGCCCTCCAGGGAAGACCAGCCCCAGGAAGGACCCCGTGCCCTACACCATGTTGGCGTTCCACCAGTGAGGATTCTCCTCTGGCTGGGAGGACAGGATCCCGGTGCCTGGGGACAGAGGAGGTGGGTCTTTCTGGTGGGACGCAAGTGCAGTTAGCGGGACAAGCAGTGTGGGGAAGTGGGACTCCTCGCCAGCCCTGCGTGGGGACGGGCCTGCACCCAGGTGGCCAGTGGAGTGGAGGACCGACAGGTACCAGGGAGTCGCTGTGGCCAGGACGCCCTGCCGGGCTGGCACCGACCGGTGGCCTTAGGGTGACTGGAAGTCATTATTAACATTTGTGGGGCGGAGAGCAGGGCTGGCGGTGAATGCTCCCAACCTCGGGAGAAGGCGCGCGTTGGGGCTCCCTGGGTGCTTCCAGAGGACCTGGCATGGGGACCCACCGCCCGGCAGCTACTGCCCCAGCGGGGCTCCCAGCCGGCTGGCCTGCTGACCTGTGCGAGTGCGGGGCCAGTCCTGGGAGCTCATGAGGCGCCGCACGCTGTCATATCTGGAGTCGCAGTTCTCCCGGTTGAAGCAGTACCAGCCGCGCTGGTCAGCTGGGGCTGCGAGGCCACGGCCGCTCGGCCCGCCCGCGCCCAGCTCAGGAAGGCAGGGTCATTCCACCTGTCGCCGGGCGCGCGCGACGGCCGCACGGGGGTGCTAGCGGCTGGGCCACTCAGAGCCCGGGGCCTGACGAGCGGCGCGGCCAGTCCCGGCAGGTGGCGCTCGCGGGGCGGGAAGTGTCGCGAGGGGCTGTGTGGTCCGTGGAAAATCCCCACGGCCCGCCCGGCGCGGGACCCGCTGTAACCTCGGCGCCGGCGGCGGGCTGTGGGGCGTCCTCCCAGGGCGCACGGTGGCACTTGAAGAGCGGAAAGCGCTTGTGCTAGAGGCGTGGGCGGGCGAGGGCGCAGGCGCCACCCAGGCGGTGTCGCGGCCTCCCCAAGGCCAGAGCCGACGTCCCGTCCTCCGCTGGGTTCCCTGCAAGTCAGGTGGGGGTGGGGGGACAGCTGGGTTCTCCCCGCCCCTCTATGCGGCCTCTTCCTGCCACTCTCAGACTGCCATCTCTCCGCCCAGGGTCCGAAGGACGTGAGCAGAGGGAATGGTCACCAGTGGCCGAGGGGTCAGTGCCCGCTGGCTGGCCGGAGACCTGGCCTTCGAGCGCCGCCCCACCCCCAGCACCTAGAGCACAGAGCCAGATGCTCCTCAGGGCCACCCCGCCAGGCGCCCGTCGGGAGCCTTCTCCCGGCAGAGTTTCCGCGGCCAGCAGCCCGCGGCCAGCGGCCCCGGGGGGGCCG